GTAGTGTGTGTGTGTGTGTGTGTGTGTGTGTGTGTGTGTGTGTGTGTGTGTGTGTGTGTGTGTGTGTGTGTGTGTGTGTGTGTGTGTGTGTGTGTGTGTGTGTGTGTGTGTGTCCAAGATCCAGCTGACATCAATTCCCAAGAGAGATGGAATCACCCAGAAGGTGATCCTTGAGAGCTTTGATTGAACTTGGTTAATAATCTCATGCTAATTTGAAAGCTTCTCAATAAATTTAGTATCTTTAGCATCCCATTGCAGAGGATGCCTCCACCCCAAGGGATACTATAACCATGAATTCGCAGTGTTCAGGTTTTTCTGGCCTCCACTTCATTCCCTGGTGATAACTACAGCTGGTCAGATATTATGTGTCAAATGAATGATGAACTTGTCACATTTTTGGTTAGTGAATCACTCCTGACTTCGGCAAGTGTGTTCATGATTTGTAAACTATTCAGAATACTTTGGATGAAATGCTTTCTGCCAGTGTGTGTGTTTGCATCCTCTTCACTTTGAATGTTATTCATTCCAATAAGTTTTCAAAGAATATTCATTTGTGCTAAAACTCATTACGCTTTTGTGATTTGTGAACCTTTTAATAAATAACCAGCAGTTGCCTGAATACTTGTAACGAGTGACATAACGTCATGAATCCAACCAGCTGAAGTTGGTGCTTGTAGTCAAAGCTCTGAAATACCCCAGACCCAGTTGTCTTGGAGACCAGCCTCTTACTAGTGCTGACCAGGGATCAGGTAAGCTCAGCTGGGAAGATCCTAATGTTGCTGAATCTATACTAGTAGCTGAAAGCCCCAGGATGTCACACAGGTGTCATTTGTAAAGTCGTGTGTAAAAAGGCCAAAAATGGTTGAAAACTTAAACATTGGAGCGTAACAGACTGTGAATCCCAGTGGGGATTGAACCTGGTGATATTTGGAACAAAAGCAGCTCTCAGCCAGGCTCATAGGAGTTTCCATCACTTCACACTGGCTCAGACAGTCTGGATTTCAGAGTGACGTCTGACGACATGGGCAGTGGGTGAAGGTCCCCAGCCCATCTTTTCTGCCTGTGGCCCTGTCCATGCTCCACCCCTGCTTTGCCCCAGGCCCCACCCTTCCCACTTTTTTCCCTCCTCTTTTCCCTCCCCCCTGCTCACCCCCATCCAGCCAAATCCCTGAACCCAAATGAAGCAAATGATGTTTGAGAAAACCACTCCTCTGCAATTTCTTTCTAAAGAAAATGAATTGTGTTTTCCACTGCATGTCAGATAGTGAAGACTGGACATGCAGAAAGTACCTAATTAAAAGCACTAAATTTGGGAATAAAAATGCCCGTCACAGGTTTTTTGATATACCCTGAAGTTTGTCTGAGATTTATTTGCAAAGACTTTGTAGCAAGGGCAAGTCAGCTGTCCTGCTGAATAGAACATTAACTATTATGGAATACATGATGCAGCTCTTCTCTGTTTTACATTTTCTTAATCAGTATTTCTAAGCTGATTTTATATTTAAATGTACTCTTAAGCCTTCATAAAGTCATCATTCCAGATTACTACATATTTAACTCACTGAAACAAAGACGTTATTTTAAATGAATCAGTCACAGAGGTTTAGTGTGTTCATAACAATATTCATTGCTTTTAGAAAAAGGGACAATAATTTACATTGTGTGATCTCCATAACAATAGACATGTTTATGAAATTTCACCAACTTTAAAAAATATGTTTCCAAAGATGTTTGGCATAACAAAGGATTTTATTTCCTACTAAGGTACTGA